GAAGATTTAGAACATTTTGTATGAGAGTTTCTCTCTTTATCTCTCCCCCTCCCTATATAACTACACTTAATACACTTCTTGCTTGAAGGTTCCTGTTGTAATGTGTGCTGAGGATGGTTCCTTCCCTGGGCTTTACTGGTCAAGTTTCCTTAGTAATCCATGGCTTTCGGATGGATGCACGATGATCATAACTTCCTTCTGGGGCAGCTGTCAAGTGATACTTTCTGTGAATGTGTTGAGGTAAGTGTAACGATCTATCATATAACTCTCTCTTGTATTTGAATACCTTTGTTACCTTGTTTTTATAATTTACTAATGAGATTTATGAAATAACAGTGGAGAAGTATTACGTATCAGCCCTACTGATTCAAATTCTTCATGGAGTGTTCTGACACTGGATGGGGACAATATCGTTGCAGGTAACATAAACTACCATTTTTTACTGATTTACTCAGACCATTATACTGAATTATAAAAAATTTCACTTCTTGTTTGATTTCTGAAGTGTCTAGCAGTCCAGTAGATGTACCTCATATCAATTATGGTTATCTTGTTGATAAAGAAAGTAAAAGTACTGGATGGAGTTGGCTAAATGTGCCAAGCCCCACAAATGAATGTTCCGAGAAGGTCTGTCAATTCGCTTTTCCAAAGCCAAATATTTCCACATATCAAGATTATCTTCAAACTTTACATCTGTTTACTCAAGTTTCTCCTTGCTACAGGTTAAATCTTTGCTCTCATCTCTTCAATTTAGTATAATGAAGATTCCCCTCAGGGATGTTTCTGATAGCGTAACAAAAGGTATTATAAACAAAATCATTTTCTTGTGTCTCAAAAGACAGTTGATTTTGACGTCCTGTATATGCTTAAAACCTTTCAGGTGCTGCCAAACCAATTGAAGCTATATTTGTGTCTTCCAAAACTAAAAGAAATGATCCATTTGACCCATTAATTGTAATTCTTCATGGAGGCCCGCATGCTGTTTCATTGTCAAGCTTTTCAAAGTCCTTAGGATTTCTCTCTTCAATTGGGTTCAACTTGTTACTTGTAAATTATAGGTAAGTTATGATTCTCCCCTTTCCCTTCATTCTGATTTTTCTTAGGATATTGGCATATGGATGGGAGAAAAAAGGAACCATTTCTTTTAAGATAGTTTCCTTCATTTTTGTCATGGTGTTGCTTCTGGCCTGAAAAATAAAGACAGGTTGTTGCTTGATGAGTCAATGGGAGGATTATAATACTTAAGAGAAAGTATAGAGAATTAATAATTCTACCTTTAGCAGAAGAACAATTTGGCTCAATGCTTATTAGTCCTTTCTGGTATTTATTGAATTTGTGTTGGTTCTGTACCTTGAAATATTTGAAATCATCACATTTTGTATGCAGTGTGATCTGTTTACTATTCTTTCGTACTCTCTTCTCTTCACCACACAATAGGTCAGCGAATAAGAAAATCCCTTACATTGATAATATTATATCTCCAGCTTTTAAATTTATTTAAAAGTGACCTTCAAGTATGGAAATTCCCCCTTCATTTGTTTTCTTATACTTTGTCAAAAGCAGTGGATATCACCTAATCTTTGTCAACAGGGAATGTTTGAAACAAACAAACTCAAATATTTTTTTTAGGTTTTAGTTTTTAGTTTTCATTTTATGTACCATTACATATATGTTTCTTCCTCCTCTCATCACCCATCCTCCCTTCTTTCTCCCACTCTATTTCTAACAAAAACTGATAACCAAACACCAAAAACAAAAAGGTACAAAAAGGTCACCAATCGGACCCTTAGTTTTCACCCTCGGTATTTAAAGGCTGTTTCTGCCATAGGAAATTTGAGAGATAGGTTAGGGGTGAATGTGAATACTATGCATCGAACAAATGAGCTGCTTTGACTGTAAAACCACTTTCAGACAGTTATAGTGATTGCACAAGACTTGTAAGGAAGATTATAAAGTTGGAGAAATAAATCCTTGGTATATGAAGGGTACAGGTGTTTGTGGGCGGTTGACCTTTTTTTTCTTCTTTCTTTTGAGTCATCTTTCTGCTCTAAGGCATTTGTTGCTGGGGTTGGGAGGTATAAAGTCAAGATTGTCAAAGTTGTCAATGGAAAAGATAAAAGTATTCCTGAAGTGTAAATGTTCATTTGGCCTGCTTCAATAAATTTTTCCTGCCCAGCAGAACACCTGATGTACTGATTGTATTCTTACTGCACGTGACAACACCATTGTATTTGTTTTTCATCCTTTGGGTTTGTAGCATCCCCTACTTGAAAAGAAAATTTAGCCTGTTTTATATATTAGCTTCTATCAACAGCTTTTGGCTTGCATTGTTCTGACAAATTAGTTTATCTCAGAGGTTCACTGGGGTTTGGTGAAGAAGCACTTCAGTCTCTTCTAGGGAAAGTTGGGTCCCAGGTGCTTACTTATACTTGTTACCTCTAATTTGTTATACCTTGGGGGTACATACTCTATACCACCTGTGTGCTTATGTGGCTTTGTGTCCTATGCAGTGCAATTTTATACTAATGTAGTATCATACACAAAACACATATGTATATACTTATGTAATTTAAGCATTTACTTTATTAATGCACCTATAGAACTATTATTTACTTTATGTACATGCTTTAGTATTTCTGGACCCTAATCTCTTAGTTGCTTCTCTACAGGACGTGAATGATGTACTGGTGGCTATAGATCATGTCATTGACTTGGGCCTTGCCAGTCCATCAAAACTTGCAGTTCTTGGTGGTTCTCATGGTGGCTTTCTCACAACCCACTTGATTGGCCAGGTCTGGTAGTTTATCAAGAAGCATGACTGTGTGCCTTTAATGTACAATGCACAGACACACAGACTATCTTCATATGTATTCTATCTTGCTATTATTATGCATTCCAAGTCCTGGATACCACTAGTTGGTGGTTCAACTTTTGGACAGCTGCTTATTTGTGTACATGGACTGGTGGTTTGGGGCTTTCATGCTTAAAGTTTTCATTTTTATTTTTAAAGCATCTAACTTATGCAAGGTTGTTAGATGAGTGCTCTAAACGGTGGATAGTACATGTAGTTTTAGGTGTACTTAAGAATTCAATAATATTGTAACTGAAATGCTGCAGGCACCAGATAAATTTGTTGCAGCAGCAGCTCTCAATCCTGTTTGTAACCTCGCATTAATGGTGGGTACAACAGACATCCCTGATTGGGTCTATGTCGAGGCCTATGGAAGTGAGGGTAAAAATAGCTTCACAGATGCACCTTCAGCTGAGCATCTGACTCTCTTCCAGAGCAAATCTCCTATTGCACATGTCTCGAAGGTATATGCTTTGTTCAGGATTCTTTCATATTACGATATTATGATCCTACTCTGGATTTTGAAGCTTTTACTAGAAGTATATTGGAATAGACAGAAAATCTACAGAAACATTTAAAACCAAACAATCTCAAGACAACAGCTCTCCCAACATCGATTAACTACATGCACTTTCACATTTGAAGCAACTACAGAGATATCATAGCTGCAATTCGCAACCATGCATTGACTTTGGAAAAGCAGAGTAGCATGATATTTGCCATTTCACAGGCAAGATGTGAAGAAAAATATTAATTGAAGTGAAAAACAGAAACAGAAAAGAGTGAAGAAATGGGAAAGAGTTGGTACATGTCATGATGTCAAATACATCTGTGCAAGTTCAATTCTTGACTCTTGAGAGTGGGTAATTCAAGCGAATCCATTCCAAGGGTTAAGATTGAATCTAGATATTCCCTCCTATGACCACTTTGGTGGGACTAGTCCTGAGATTTCTGTGTTACTCCACCGGGTTGAAGTTTTCTGTAATATATATATATATATATATATATAATTAACATTCAGTCAAGAAACGGGAAACATGCAATTAATTTTCCTTTTCCAAAAACAGCTAATATTTAGAATGATTTTATCTAGTAAGGAGTTTGCTATTTCTAACTTTTTGATTTTTGATGCTCTCTGCAGGTCAAAACGCCCACCCTTTTTCTTTTGGGTGCTCAGGATCTTCGTGTTCCAGTTTCTACTGGGTTGCAAGTAAGCTAATATGTTCCCCTCCTAATGAACTACACATTGAACACTTTATTCTATTTAAATGATTTTACAACAATAACAAGTGCTTGGATAATAATTCTTCTTGGCTGCATTGCAGCAGAAAGTGAATGAAACATAAAATACACAAACAATTGGAATCTACAAATTTTTGTTAAAACTCTTTGTTTTTTCTTTTAAAGTGATTTCCTTTGTCCCCCAAGTGGGTGGGAAGAATTTGATGCATACACGGTTACATAATTGTAATAATGTGAAATTAGAAAAGTGATCTGGATGTTTATTGTTTGTAGTATGCTCGGGCATTGAAAGAGAAAGGAGTTCCTGTCAAAGTCATTGTGTTTCCTAATGATACTCATGCCATTGAGAGGTAAAGTAAACACATTAGCCAAACTTGCTTCTGCATTGTAGTAGTCTCTCAGTCACTACTACAATCAAGCTCATAAAATTTCATACTTGGGTTTCAATTCCATCTGATTCCAACTCCTGTTTGCAGGCCGCAATCAGACTTTGAGAGCTTGCTGAATATTGGTGTGTGGTTCAAGAAGTATTTATCGTAAATGAGCCGGCATTTCTCCCTTGCTTTTTACCGCCACAATTTGACTTTGAGAGCTTACTTAATATTGCTGTTTTTATGGGCAGTAGAAATCTATAATACAATGCTGTTCATTAAAGTTACAATCAGTAGGTTTCTCAAAAATAAAATAGTTACTCAGTAGGTTGGATCTACTTATAACCAGACTCTTGACTTTGATCTTTTTGAACTGTCCAAGCCTTTGTCCATCATGTATAATCTTCAGTCTGGATGAGATATTAAAAGTAACAGTTACTGAAATCTTCAGTCTGTATTTTTTTTTTTTTTGGGTTTCCTCTCAGTTTTGGTTTCTCAAGCGTAGGCCATCATCCTTCTTAACAAATTCAAATCAATCCTTCACTACTGAGGATTGGCTTTTGGTTTCTCTTGATTTTTGATTTCGGTTCTTCAGAAACAGCTCAAACTCTCTCGCTGAATTTGGGTTTATAATTTCTGCTGAGAAATAGATGGAGCTCATCATTCTCTCCGTGCCCAACTGTTGAATCTGTGCCAACCTCTCATCACCGCCAAAAGCAAACATTCGAACGCCGTCACACGAGGCTGCCACCATAGCCACGAAGCATGCTGCTGCTGGCAATTTCATTCTCTGATTTTTCAAGAATTTATTTGCTTGCTTGTGAGAAATACGGAAAGGAGAGAAAAACGACATGTCGTCACAATGATCTTAACAGAGAGCAGAGAAGGCTGTGTCTGTGCGACGAAAATCCAGACGAAGAAGAATAGATTTCAAAGCCATGCAAAGCAATGCACGAACCTTTTTTCAATCCCATGCCTACCATCGGCTCCTGCTCGTCGTTAGCTTCACCCAATAGCTTGCCCAGTTCGTTTTTAGCCTCAATCGCGACTTTGCTCAAAGCCTGTAAAACCCAATACCATCTACAACAAGTTCATGCACAGATTATACACAAGGGATTAGAGCAAGACTGCTTCCTTATAACCCAGTTCATTTGCCTCTCCAACACTCTCTCTTCCCTCTCTTACTCCACCGCCATCTTCGACAGTGTTCACAGTCCCAGTACGTTTCTCTGGAACACTTTGATCAAAGGGTACTGCGAAAGGTCGAGTTTTGCCGATACTGTTGGCCTCTTTGTTCGGATGAAGAGAGAGGAGGGTGTTCCCGATAGGTATACGTACCCGTCTCTCGTTAAGGCCTGTGCGAGTGAGGCGAAGGTCTGGGAAGGCAGGGCAATACATGGGTCGGCTGTGAGGTGTGGGGTTGATGGGGATGTGTTCGTGAGCACCAGTTTGATTGACTTGTATGGAAAATGTAGGGAGATTTTGTGCGCTCGCAAGGTGTTTGATGGAATGTCTGAGAGAAATGTAGTTTCTTGGACAGCTATGGTTGTTGGGTATGCGAGTGTTGGGGACTTGGATGAGGCCCACGGGCTGTTTGATCAGATGCCGCAGAGAAATGTGGTGTCGTGGAATGTGATAATCAGTGGGTTTGTGAAATTGGGTGATTTGACAAATGCTAGGAGGATCTTTGATCAGATGCCTGAGAAGAATGTGGTTTCTTTTACTACGATGGTTGATGGATATGCCAAGTACGGAGATATGGCGTCTGCAAGGTTTTTGTTTGACCAAGCCCCTAACAAAGATATTGTTGCGTGGTCGGCATTGATATCTGGGTATGCACAAAATGGTCAACCCAACGAGGCTTTGAAGATATTTCTTGAAATGAGTACGAGTAATGTTAAGCCTGATGAGTTTATAATGGTGAGCTTGATGTCAGCTTGTTCCCAAGTGGGTTGCTTGCAAGTGGCCAAATGGGTTGATTCTTACCTGAGCCAGAGCTCAATTGATGTTCGTCAGGATCATGTTATTGCGGCTCTAATTGACATGAATGCAAAGTGTGGTAATATGGAAAGAGCAACAAGTTTGTTCGAAGCGATGCCTAAACAGGACATGATTTCATATTGTTCTATGATACAAGGGTTGTCGGTTCATGGTCGAGGGTATCAAGCTGTTGCCCTCTTCAATAAGATGTTAAATGAAGGTTTGGCTCCGGATGAGGTTGCTTTTACAGTCATCCTTACAGCCTGTAGCCGGGCAGGGCTCGTTGAGCAGGGTTGGCACTTCTTTGAATCAATGAGACGTAAGTACCATTTGACTCCCTCTCCTGATCATTATGCATGTATGGTTGATCTTCTTAGCCGGTTGGGACGGTTAAATGCAGCTTATGACCTTCTAAAATCAATGCCTATGGAGCCTCATGCTGGTGCTTGGGGTGCACTCCTTGGAGCCTGTAAGCTAAATGGCAATATAGAGTTAGGTGAATTGGTTGCTAATCGACTTTTTGAGATTGAACCCCTAAATCCTGGTAATTATGTGCTATTGTCCAACATTTATGCGGCAGCGGACCGCTGGTTTGATGTTTCTGCTGTGAGGGACAAAATGGAAGAGCAGGGAATTAAAAAGATAAGCGGTTGCAGTTGGATTAGTTCAAAAGGCTGAGCTTCTTGCTAACTCTCTTAATGCAATGCATGGAGTTTATGCAGATGACAGACAATGTTCCCTGACGTCTACATTATGGAGTTGGAGTTTGATTAACAAATTTTAGTTGTGACTCCTAGCTTATTGGTGCTTAAGGAACCAAGCTTTTGACCCTGCCTTTGACGTCGCTCCTACAGATGCAATTTCATGCGTTTCAACAATGCATGAAGGCATTCTGGTAGCTGAAAGTCTAACTTATCACCTCAAGTAAGAGAATGGCAACTTGAATGTTGCTCTTTTGAAATCCTCATACTTGGAGATGTGTAACCCAACGCTTATATAACATGGACTTATCACATGGGGATCCAAATGTGCTTGATCTTTGCACCTGAAATATGTCAAATTAAACTGATTCAATGAAGCTTTTTCGTTGGTTCCTGCAGCAAACAGTTTTGGCTGCCCAACCATGTACATGAATTTCTGTTCCTTGATAGAATAAATTTATCAAATCTTGGTTATGGGTGGGTGCCATTTATTCCAGACAGTTATAGTGATTGCACAAGACTTGTAAGGAAGATTATAAAGTTGGAGAATCAAAAGAGTACAGGTATTTGTGGAAATTGTCAGAATTGAGTCATTTTTCTGCCCTAAGGAATTTGTTGCTGGGGTTGGTATAGGCATAAAGTCAAAATTGTCAAAATTGTCAATGGAAAAGATAAAAGTATTCCCGAAGTGTAAATGTTCCTTTGGCCTGCTTCAAGAATTTTTCCTGCCCAGCAGAACACAACATCGTTGCAATATTTACCTCCCAGCATATCTGTTTAAAGTTGTTCACTTGATGTACAGATTGTGTTCTTACTGCACGTGATGACACCATTGTATTTGTTTGCATCCTTTGGGATTCTAGCATCCCCTACTTGAAAAAAAAGAAGAAAAACCTGTTTTATATATTGGCTTATATAATCAGCTTTTGGCTTGCATTGTTCTGACATATTAGCTTCTACAAAAAGATTATATGAATAAAGTGAAACTCTGATGAGGTTCATTGTGCACAGATATTTCTGTAACCAGTGTTACAGGTACCATCTTACCATTTTCAGTAGGAAATGCAAGACAATCACTCTAGCAATAATTATGACGATAACAACTTTGGGCACTTACAGGTATATTTTCCTCAAATGGTGTTGAGTAGAAGTGTTGATCAATGCCTGAAGCTCCCTTTAAGAACCGAGTAAGAAATATAACATCCTAGTTAGTATACACAGATCATTTCACCAATTGTTGAAACATGAAGCTAGTAAATTAATAACTATAAAATATAAACTGATGGAAGTAGGCCACAAAATTTCAAAATTGTTACGGAAAAGAGAAGCTTTGAGCTCCAAGTGTCACTCTGGCCTACTTGGAAATCGCATAATCTCTAGGTGGGTCTTTTAAAATAATAATAATAATAAATAGTACAACTGCACGACTATACTCTTGACATATGTTATTATTAAAGCATATAGACACGCGGTTATACTCCCTAAATATATTATTTTAAAATGTATAGCCGCGAGGCTATACTGGGGTCCTTTAAAAAAAAAATCCCTGATTTTCATTTATCGTAAGAGTAGTTTAGAGCATTAACCATTACTATTAGGCCATTACATGAGTCTATAATGTACCCTTTTGATTTTTTATTTTTCTAGACTTATTACCCGTATATAGAATTTTGCATTTTCTCCTTTAATACTCGTGTTATACACATACGTATGTATTTTTCATGTTTAATACAAGTGTTTTTTTACAAGAAGACAAAATACACATATTATACACACTAATTTTCACATATTATACATACAAAATTCACGTATTAATATATATTAAACATAATTTAGTAGCACTAAAAAGAACGAGGTAGATCAAAGGCAAACATTCCCACGAAAAAAAAAGAAAAAAAAATTGAACTCTCAGATTGATTTAACATGAAATTCCTCTCCCTTCAATATCTATTTTGCATATATTCAAGCTAGCAAATTAATAACTTTAAAGTATAAACGAATCGAAGTAGGCCAAAATATTTCAAAATTGCTACACAAAAGAGAAGCTTCTAGCTCCAAATGTCACTTTGGGCAACTTGGAAATCGCCTAATCATTAGGCTGGTCCTTTTTTGTTTTTTGTTTTATTTTTTAAATTAATAAATAGTATAATTGTGCAGCTATACTCCTAAAATATATTATTATATTTAAAGGGTATTGTCGCTCGGTTATATTGAGTATAGCTGCGCGGCTATAATGGGGGTCCTTTTAAAAAAAAAATTTCCCTGCTTTTCATTTATTGTAAGAGTAGTTTAGAGCATTATCCATTATCGCGTGGCTATACGCCTAAAATATATTATTATATTTAAATGCCACTCGGCTATACCCCTTAAATATATTATTTTAAATAGTATAGCCGTGTGGCGATACTCTTGAAATATATTATTATATTTTTTTTGGAAATAATATATTATTATATTTAGAGGGTATAACCACGCGGATATATTGGGGTCATTTAAAAAAAAAAATTATCCCTGATTTTCATTTATCGTAAGAGTAGTTTAGAGCATTATCCATTACTATTACTCAAGTCTCTGTTGTACCCTTTTGATTTTTTTATTTTTCCAGACTTATTATACGTATAAAGAATTTAGCATTTTCTCCTTTAATACTTGTGTTATACACACACGTACGTATTTTTCATTTTTAATACACACATTTTTTTATACAAAATTTTCAATAATAGAGACAAAATTCACGTATTATATACATAATTTTCACATATTATACAACCAAATTCACGTATTAATATATATTAAACAAAATTTAGTATCACTCGAGAGAACGAGGTAGATCAAGGGCAAACATTCCCACGAAAAAAATATTAAAAAATTGAACTCTCATATTGATTTACTGTGACATTTCTCTCCCTTCAATATCTACTTTGCATATGTTGAAACTAGGAAATTAGTAACTATAAAGTATAAACTAATGGAAGTAGGCCACAAAATTTCAAAATTGCTAGGGAAAATAGAAGCTTTGAGCTCCAATTGTCACTTTCGCCTACTCGGAAATCGGCTAATCGCTAGGCGGGTCCTTTTTTTTTCCAAGTTTTTTTTATATAATAATTAGTATATCTGCGTGGCTATACGCCTTAAATATATTATTATATTTGAAGAGTACAACCGTGCAGCTATTTTGGGGACCTTTTTTTCTTTTAATTTTTTTCCCTGATTTTCATTTATCGTAAGAGTAGTTTAGAGTATTATCCATTACTATTAGGCCATAACCCGAGTCTCTACTGTCCCTTTTTATTTTTTACTTTTCAGAGTTATTACTCATATAAAGAATTTAATATTTTCCTGTTTAATACTCGTATTATACATGTACGTACGTATTTTTCATGTTTAATACACATATTTTTTTATAAAATTTTCAATAATGCAGACAAAATTCATGTATTATACACATAATTTTCACATATTATTGAATAAAAATAATATATGTTTAAATATTAAAATATTATATTGTGGCTGAACTTTTCAGTTGTAACTTGCCAAAATTTTGCCGAATAAAACACGTACGTATTTTATTCGTATTTTTCCCATTACGTATTTTATTAACTATGAAAGAATGTGAGAGGCTAAGATTATTGCTTACTTGTTAACTTGTAACAGAAATGCAAGATTGTGATTTTACAATCTCTTTACTAACTATGAAAGAATTTGAGAGTCAATATTTAGTTAAGAATAATGTTACTCTTACCACATTTGTCTACCATATTCTCATAACATCTTATGTGGCAGATGAGATGTACAACCATATTTTACTCGTTAGTTAAATAGCGAGCGATTTGCCCATTTTGATCATATTTAACTGGGCAGATGCCTATTTTGTTCACATCTCACTTTTGGTATATACAATACAAAACTAGAGTCAAGTTGCCAACTTGCATATTTTATTTTTTGGTGAAATGAAATGCCAACATGAATATTTTGAAAACAATGAATCCAATGAAAGATTTCGCTGAACCCAATAGAAAAAGACAGTGGTCACCAGGGAAGAAGACGGTTGCTGAGCCAGATAGCTGGCTTGAACATGAGCCCAACTCTACCTTAACCAGACACAGAAATGTCTAAAAATGGGCAGTGCATGATTAAGCTGTAAGTGACATGGAGACCCTCTTGCTCTTTTCTCTCTACGTGAGCTCTCTCTTTCTCTCTCCCTCCTTTTTAGTTCCTGTGTGTTCTTCTTCCTTACATTCTGTTGACTTTTAGTCGCTGAATCTAGTTTTTGTGCTAAACTGCTTTGATGGTACATATATATATATGATAAAAAGTTTAAGAGGAGGGGAGGCTACCCATCCTGGGATCAGGGCATACCAAGGCCTCTTTGGTATTAGTCTTTTTTTGGTTTTCACAGATTACCAGCGGAACTCGAACCTATGCCTTAACAGTGAAGATAATGATCTTTACCAACTCAACAAACCCTCCCTCGTTGGCGATGGTATCTATATTTCAAGTTACTTACAGAATTCTTTCGGTTACAATTGCTACTGCACATTTCAGCTATATACTTTCTTTCTGTTGGTTGTTTTCTTCTTGTTGATCTTCCTTGCGATCTACTCTGTAGTAAAAGATTGTTAACAGTTTTAGCCATGGACGGTTCAAAAGCTGGTTCGTTTAAAGAGATGCCTCTGGGGATAGATGCAACAACTGAGGAAGAATATGCTTCCCAGTCTAGACTACTTCAAGAATTTACTGGTATTTCCAGCATTGATAAGGCATGGATATTTAAATCTGACAGCGGTACGATTTCTCATATTTCTAACATTCATGTCCTTACTTCACATACAAGCCGTTGAAAGCCAAAGACCCATTTCTGATGAAGATATTTGCACACAAAACTTTGTTATAGGAATTGGCTCCCAGGCAATGTTTTCAATTAGTCAACCAAATCTTTTGGCAAACAAAAGGAAGAAGTTCATTCTGACCTCTCATGTTTTAAGAGAAAGTAACAATTCTGTAAATTTCCAATGGGCCCCATTTCCTGTGGAGATGACAGGAGTCTCTGTGATGGTTCCATCACCATCTGGTGCAAAGCTTCTTGTAGTTCGGGATCCTGAAAAAGAATCTCCCTGTCAATTTGAAATTTGGGGTCGAGCTCAAGTGGAAAAAGAATTCCACATCCCCCAATCTGTTCATGGTTCAGTATATGCTGATGGATGGTAAATTAATCATGTGAATGCAGTTTTCCCAATGATTGCTGTATATGATATTTGATGTTATCCTGTGCACAAGATACTTTGTAGGAGAGTTCAAACTTTCAATGAATACAGGTTTCAGGGAATTTCTTGGAACTCTGATGAAACTCTCATTGCTTATGTTGCTGAGGAACCATGTCCTTCCAAGCCCACATTTACAGGACAGGGCTACAAGAATAGTACTTCCGCAGATAAGGACTTCGGTAACTGGACAGGTCAAGGGGATTGGAAGGAAGAGTGGGGGGAAACCTATGCTGGGAAACAGCAGGCTGCACTTTTTGTCATGAACATTAACAGGTCTAGGACAATTGGTTTACTTTTTATCAGTACCAAGATTAAAAGTAAGGGGAATTCTTCTTTAGATGGCCAACTTATTTTTAATTTCCCTATGCATTACAGTGGAGAGACACAAGCTGTTAAAGGAATTGAAAAGTCTTTGAATGTTGGTCAAGTTGTGTGGGCGCCACCGGTTAGAGGTTCACATCAATATTTGGTTTTTGTTGGGTGGTCAGAAGGTACCAGAAAGCTTGGTATCAAGTACTGCTTTAACAGGCCCTGTGCATTGTATGCGGTTAGGGCACCAAATTTTGAATCCGAAGCTGATGGACCTGAACTCAAGTGAGTTGCTTTGTGCAATGCTTATGTCCCTTTTTTGGACCCTTATTCTTGTAAATTGTTTTGTGAGGTTCGTTGTGCTTAGACATATCATATAACTATCAATTTCTTTAATTGTTTCAGAGATAGTTCAACTGAAGATTCTCCTGTGGTAAATCTAACTCAAAGCATAACTAGTGCTCTCTATCTGTTGTGAAAATGGACAAACACTTTCACTCACTCCCCTAATGATCTTGTTGTTGATGGACTTTGTGACACACACAAGGATGGATGAATCACACACACACACACTTAAGAAACCAACCAAGCACAAAGTGACACAAGTATTTTAGGGGTTCAGCAATTGCCTACATCCTCTTGGTGATCCCCTTGAGAAATTCACTAATGAAAGAATAAGTTACAACTTTGGTTTACAAAGAAACCCCCTTAGAACTCTATTCTCTCCCAAGCTCTCTTTTCTCTCTCACCCCTTGCTCAACACTTTGATACACTTGTGAACACTCTCACAACTCTTGGTGTTTCCCCCCTTTGGTGTCTAGACTACTCAAGACTCAACTCAGCTCTCTCTTGAACTGATTGCCCTCTCTCTCTTCCTCCCTTGGTGAGATAACCTCCCTTTGAACACAATAGCTCCCAGCTACTTGACAACTTTGAGATTAACCACACTTGCTGTCTTGCTTCCTCTTCCCTTTAATACACAAGCCTTTGGACTTAGGAGGAGGCTCCATCTTTTCCTCCCACGTTCTCCCCTTGGTTTCCAGATTTGGACCACAACTTGGGCAGAACAAAGGCTAGGCATTGACAGCTGCAACTTCAGCCACCCTATCTAGAGCTATAGGGTAGGTACTCTTTGAAACAAGTCAACTATCCTCATTCAATGGTGCTCCAGCTTTTCCAGCACCTTGCTAGACCTCCTAGAACCCATAACACACCTTAGAGGCCCGAGGGATTAGGTAGGGAACCAATACATGTGAAGGCCTCTTGAAAAACGCGTGGAAGAAAACAGCACAGCAGCCTGGCGACCGGTCGCCCGTTACTAGCGACCGGTCGCTTTACACTCTGACTGCAGGCGACCGGTCGCTTGCACCTTGCGACCAGTCGCTTTTCGCGACTTCCAGCTTCTCCTCCAGACTTCAAATCTGCTTCAAAATGACCGGTCGCAAATACCCAGCGACCGGTCGCTTCCTCCTTCACTTGCATACTTAATGTGAGCCATTTTTCCAACACTATCCACAGTTCAGGTAATGTTTTTTTTCCCCATCAGACATGTAAACTTCACAGGGGTCTATAACCTCATGCATTACTTAAATTGAGTCTCTGATATATCTCATTGGAGCTCTCTTTTTAGATTTTAGAGACTTGTCATTTTCTTCATGTCAAGGAGAATTCCTCTGGAAATGCTAGTCTAGATAGAACAGCGAATGGAAATTTTTCTAATTACTTCAAACATTAGCTAACAGATTGCTGATTGTATTCGAAACATGATGAATGTAAATTTTCCAGTCCAGATGGAAAATTCCTTTTGTTTTTATCTGCAAGAAGTGCTGTGGATTCTGGTGTACACTCTGCAACAGATTCTCTACACATAATAGATTGGCCGATGGATGGAGTACTGTCCTCATCTACAAAAATTGTTGATGTGGTGAGCTCTTCAAATTTTATCTTTTTGGTTTGAGTATGATCAAATTTTTATGAATCACACAACCTAATAATGGAAGATTTAGAACCTTGTATGAGTTTTGCTCCCTCTCTATATAACTTTACTTAATACACTTATTTTTTAGATTCCTGTTGTAATGTGTGCCGAGGATGGTTACTTCCCTGGGCTTTACTGTTCAAGTTTCCTTAGTAATCCATGGCTTTCTGATGGATGCACGATGATCTTATCCTCCGTCTGGGGCAGTTGTCAAGTCATACTTTCTGTGAATGTGTTGAGGTAACCATAGCGATCAGTCATCCGGATCTCTCTTGTATCTGCACACCTTTTGTTACCTTGTCCTCATTAACTCATGAAATTTATATGAAATTACAGTGGGGAAGTATTACGTATCAGTCCTACTGATTCAAATTTTTCATGGAATGTTCTTACACTGGACGGGGACAATATCATTGCTGGTAACATAAACTGCCTTGTTTAACTGATAACTGGATGAATATATTTACTGAAGTAGAACGAAGTTTCACTTCTTGTTTGATTTCTCAAGTGTCTAGCAGTCCAGTAGATGTACCTCATATCAAGTATGGTTATCTTGTTGATAAAGAAAGTAAAGATACTGCATGGAGTTGGTTAAATGTATCAAGGCCCACAAATGCATGCTCTGAGAAGGTCTGTCAATTTGCTTTTCTTAGTATCGTTATATTATTACTATGTGTCATGAATATCTTCAAAGCTTGCATTTTTTTTCTCAAAATTCTCCTTGCTACAGGTTGAATCTTTGATCTCATCTCTTCAATTTAGTATATTGAAGATTCCCATCAGGGATGTTTCTTATAGCCTGACAAAAGGTAATATAAGCCCTTTTTTTTTCTTTTCTTAGCCATTTTCTTTCTTTTGTCTTAAAAAGTAATTGATTTTGAAGTCCTCTATATGCTGAAAACCTTTCAGGTGCCACCAAACCTTTTGAAGCTATATTTGTATCTTCCAAAACTAAAAGAAGTGATCCATGTGACCCATTAATTGTATTACTTCATGGAGGACCGCATATTGTTTCATTGTCCAGCTTTTCAAAATCCTTAGCATTTCTCTCTTCAATTGGTTTCAACTTGTTAATTGTAAACTATAGGTAAGTTATGGCTCTCCTTTCTCCCTGCATTTCAATTTTCTTATCAGGGTCAGGGCTCCAAATTTCCAGCTAAAGCACTTGATGCTCAACCAAATTGTGCTCCAATTTTGTTGATCATATATGATGACATTGTCATATGGATGGGGAGAAAAAACAAACACATCATTTAAGATAGTTCCCTTCATTATTGACATGGTGTTGCTTCTGGCTGAAGGAAAAAAAAAAAAAAAAAAGACACGCTTTTGTTTGATGAAACAATGGGAGGGTTATAATACCCCAGTGAAAGAAAAGAGAACTAATAAGCATACTTTTTTTTCCTTTTTTCTTATCACCACCTTCTTGGCCTGCATTGCTCTGACATGCTAATTTTATCTCAGAGGTTCACTGGGGTTTGGTGAAGAAGCACTTCAGTCTCTTCCAGGGAACATTGGGTCCCAGGTGCTTATGCATATCTACCTTTAATCGTTTCATAGTAATCTTACTATTCTGTTATGCTAGCTGGTGTTTGCCTTAGAGATGCCTAATCTACCAAATGTGCGCTTAACTAGAGCCTTACCAAATGTGTTTTGAGACCCTGATCTCTTAGTTTCTTCTCTACAGGACGTGAATGATGTACTGGTGGCTATAGATCATGTCATTGACATGGGACTTGCCAGTCCATCAAAAATTGCAGTTCTTGGTGGTTCTCATGGTGGCTTTCTCACAACCCACTTGATTGGCCAGGTGTGGTAATTTGCAAAAAGCACGACTGTTTTAAGCATTTATAAGTATCTTCATGAACATTAGTGGTTTGGGGATTTCATTTGCATAGAGTTTTTTGTTTTTTGTTTTTAGGCATCTATAACTTATGCACGTCTGGTAGATGCTTTAGAAGGTGATATTTCATGTACTTTTAGGTATATTTAAGAATTTAATAATCTTGTAACTGAAATGCTGCAGGCACCAGATAAGTTTGCTGCGGCAGCAACAAGAAATCCTGCTTGTAACCTCGCATTGATGGTGGGCACGACAGACATCCCAGATTGGTGCTATGTGGAGGCCTATGGAAGTGAGGGTAAAAATACATTCACAGAAGCACCTTCAGCTGAGCATCTAACTCTCTTTCACAGGAAATCTCCTATTTCACATAGCTCCAAGGTATATGCTTAGATTGGGTCTTCTTTTTCTGTTACTATAATTTTGAGCCTGTTCTGGACTTTGAAACTAGCAGTATATTGGAATGGAAGGAAAATCTAAGAAAATAACTAAAACCAAAAAACAGTTAATATTGAGAGCGATATTATTTACTGAGGAGTCGTCTGCTACTTCTAACTTTTTTATTTTTGATGCTCTCTGCAGGTCAAAACACCAACCCTTTTTCTTTTGGGTGCTCAGGATGTTCGTCTTCCCGTTTTTACTGGATTGCAAGTAAGCTAATATGTTCCCCTCATAATGAACTACAAACTGAATACTTATCCTATCTTGATGGTTTGAAAACAATAACAAGTGCTTGGATAATTATTCTTCTTCGCTGCATTGCAGTAGAAAATTACTATTTTTCATCTTTTAAAGTGATTTCCTTTGTCCCCAAAGGGGTGGGAAGATTTTGATGCATCCACAGTTACCTAATCAAAATGATGCAAGTAGAAAAGTGATCTAGAACCGAGGCCTTTTGTGATAAAACCTCACACGCGGACTTTACAAGTGGTTAAGTTATCAATAGTATAGGTGTCAGCAGTAGTAGTGGGCCGCTGGTCTGTTTGTTGAAATCTTAACATGGATGTTTATTGTTTGTAGTATGCTCGGGCATTGAAGGAAAAAGGAGTTCCTGTCAAAGTCATTGTGTTTCCTAATGATACTCATGCAATTGAGAGGTAAAGTAAGCACATGATCCAAATGTGCTTCTGCATTGTAAACTTGTATTGTCTCAGTCACTACTACAATCAAGCTCATAAAACTTCATACTTGGTTTCATTTCAATCTGATTTGAAATCCTGTTTGCAGGCCACAATCCGACTTTGAGAGCTTTCTGAATATTGGTGTGTGGTTCAAGAAATATTTATCCTAAATGAGCTGGCATTTCTCTCCCCTGCTTTTACTGTACAAATCTTTAATGCAATATTGCTGTTTATTAAAGTTCCACCCAGTAGGTTTGATCCACTTATAACCAAACTCTTCACCTTGAACTTGTTGAAGGTGGCTAGCCATGCCTTTGTTCATCATGTATAATCTGCAATCTGGATGGCAAATATTTATGTTTTAGAAGCTAACATTATCGAAATCAATGTGGAAAGTTAAACTGTTATATATCTCGATTACGAATTATTGGGTTGATTAGTATGAGATTAAATTGCACCGTTTCCATAACATATAGTTTGACATTGCAACATTTTTTTTTTCTCTGATTACATCAAGACTCAAAGCTAAGGCCTAAACCTTTCCAACAACAATCATACTCATTCACCAAAATAACAACAATCGAACTCTTATTATTTCATAAAGACATAATAAATTAATAGATGATGAAATCATCAGTTCAGTCTTTATTCCACTGAAAGCAAACATCATACGTTTTGACATACAAGTTAAACCTACATGGACCATTTGGTACTATACTCCACCAACATTTGCTGCAATGCGGTGCATCTCTCGGGTTATCGTATATATCCAACCATTTAAATGTGTTTGGCCACTGAAAACTGCAGTAGAATTGTGTACTGAATATCCAGCTAGGTCGAAAATTGAATCCAAAGGAAGCGTGAGGAGGAAGCACTTGGACACCCCAATGCCGTCATCCTCTGATTTACAGTGAACTGTAAGGGTCAAGTTTCCACCCAAATCATTTGTGACTCTAACAAATCTTCGTTTTTATGAGCAGTGTTCCTTCGTCAGTGTCAGTGTGTCACATATGTTTATTCCAAACAACGAAAACAGCATTAGCAGCATCATTGCATTTCGAATGAACCAAGCCATGCTTGTTTAATCTTAGTTGGAAAACACACTAGAATGCAATGCATCAAGTTTTCTTATAGTCTAGAATGCATGCAGCTTTAAAAAGGTAACGGATGAGGTACATAGAACCAACCTGGTAACAATTTCCTGGGAATAAATGGAAAAACAGGTAAATAAGCGAATGCTAAATCGTTGTTCGCTCAACGTTCCATATATAACCTTGATAATTGAAAAGAAAATAACATAAACAATTTTTTATTAGATAAAACGACTAGGTACATTAAATCTGAATTTATTGTTGAAATTCAAGAAGGTTTCCAAATTAATTCCTACATCCATTACAATTAGATATCATGGAGATCTTTTCAAATTCGACGTGTGTCATTAGTTACAATCGAAATAAAAATTGTTTCCATATATTGACCCATACATTAATATAAAAAATGCAATAATGGCTTAGTTCTGAGTATCTTAGGGATAAATATATAAAATATTACACATAAGCTTGATTAGGTGAGCTTACTTAGTTGGATCATAGTCATCGGACTTTAATTGTAAAAATAAAATAATTAAAAAATGTATAGCCGAGCGGCTGTACTCCTGAAATATATTATTATATGTAACGCGTCTAGCCGCACGGCTATACTCCTGAAAAATATTATTATATGTAACGCGTATAGCCGATCGGCTATACTAATTAAAAATATTATTACATTAAAAGAGTATAGCCGCGCAGCTATACTGGGGTCCTTTTAAAAAAACATTATTTTCATTTATCGTAAGAGTAGTTTAGAGCATTATCCATTATTATTAGGCCCCTTTTGATTTTTTACTTTTTCAAAGTTATTACTCATATATATAGACAAAATTCACGTATTAATATATATTAAATAGAAATTAATAGTACTCGAGAGAATGAGATAGATTAAAGTCGTTTTCCCATGAAAAAAGAAAAAAGAAAAAAGTGGAACTCTTATATTGATTTGATGTGAAATTTCTTTCCCTTCAATATCTACTTTGCATATTTTGAAGCTAGCAAATTAATAACTATAAAGTATAAACTAATGGAAGTATGCCATGAAATTTCAAAATTGCTAGGGAAAAGAGAAGCTTTGAGCTCCAACTGTCACTTTGGGCTACTCAGAAATTGCCTAATCGTTAGGCGGGTCCTTTAAAATATATATATATATATATTAGTCACACAGCTATACTTTTGAAATATATTATTTTAATTGATGTGGTTGTCCACCTTATGTGGTAGATGAGGTAGACAACCACATCATTTAAAATTATTTAATATTTTATTTTCCTTTATGATTTATTAACACTTTAAAAAAAACTATTAATTAAACTTTCTTTATTAAAATACACTTAATTGATTTAATTGATGTGGCATATGATATGGATAAGCCACATCATGTGGTATAGAAATGTGGGATAAAAATATAGTAAGTATATCATTACTCAAATATAATAGCCCTGGACTAAATAATATTTTAGGGGTAATGCTAGATTTACCATATTTTTATACCACATTGTGTACCATCTATCTAATAAAGGTGGAGCCCACCAATAAAATGGGGCTCATCTCTATTAGAGGGGTGTAGTGGTAAAAAATGTGGTAAGCTTAGCATTTTCCATATTTCAGAGGACTAAATTATAGCTTGTACTACATTTAGCCCTATTAAATTGTTAAGTTTTGTAGGGTCTGTTATGATAATTTCACAAAGGAATATACAGTTGTCATTCACAAAAAATAATAGTAATAAAAGAATAATAATAGGTGTGCAAAGACATGTTTTGGGTGGATATAGAACCTGCATCTTGTTTTGATGGGTTGGGTTGGGTTGGGTCGACCCGAGTTTCGTATATGGATGATCCGAATTGTCCGACTGCCTTCAACTTTCTCCTATTTGATTTCTCTGCCCGTCCGCTTGAGCCTACCAAAGTTGATACTCTCCGAGTCTCTGCAAATTAATTACTCCAACAACGTTTGGAGGACTCTAACCATGTTATTATCACTTTCCTAATACTCAAGAAAAATATAGTATGTTTCAGTTTCTGTGAAAACAATGTTTGTGAAGCTCCAGTTGGACACCAGTTGCTTCCCCATTTTGGGTTCCATAAAAACCTCACCCAACATAAGGCATTCTCCATTAGACAAACTTGAACTAATAAACAAGGAGAGGAAACCCAGAGTGGTTCAGAGCCCCAATGGAGGAGGAGCGGTCAAGAAGGGTTTAAGTGAAGTTCATAGACCCACCCATGATAGATGTGGAAATGGTGCTGTTGTTCATGAGTTTGAGCAGAAGAAACACAGTTTTGTGGGCAACCCAGGTGGGGAAAAGAGGAAAATCACTAAGGGTAGTGGTGCTTATGTGAAAAGCAGGGATTTTGATGTTGAATTGAGGGCGGTGAATGGAAATGGAGTGGTGAAGAAAGTGCCTTCCAAGTGTTCGACGAAATGGGTCACTTATGGGGGTTGCATACCTGCAATTTTGAAGGCATTGGATGAAGTTGAGGATTTGGATAAGGCTTTGAAGCCATGGGAAGATAGGCTTACTAACAAGGAAAGGAGCATAATTTTGAAGGAGCAGGTGAGTTGGAAAAGGGCTTGGGAGATTTTTGAGTGGTTCAAGAGAAAGGACTTTTATGAATTGAATGTGATTCACTATAATATACTGCTTAGAATTCTTGGGAAGGCAAGGAAGTGGACCCATGTAGAGAATCTTTGGGATGAGATGAAGGTTAAAGGAATAGCGCCTATCAATTCGACTTATGGAACTTTGATTGATGTTTATAGTAAAGGTGGGCTGAAAGAAGAAGCACTTCTTTGGCTGGAGAAGATGAACAAACAAGGAATGAAACCTGATGAGGTTACTATGGGGATTGTCGTTCATTTGTATAAGAAAGCGGGAGAATTTCAAAAAGCTGAGGATTTTTTCGACAAATGGTCATTGAGCCTATCTTTTAGACAAGAGGGCACTACTACAACAGCTGCTGGTGGATTGGGGAGCTCTTTGCACTCTCATGTTTCTTTGAGCTCACATACATATAATGCATTGATTGACACGTATGGAAAGGCTGGCCAACTTAAAGAAGCGTCTGAAATATTTGCGACGATGCTTAGGGAAGGGATTGCTCCAACTACAGTGACTTTCAATACAATGATGCACATTTGCGGTAACCATGGCCAGCTAGAAGAAGTTGCTTCCCTTATGCAGAAGATGGAAGAGCTTCGATGCCCAGCGGACACGAGAACATATAATATTCTAATTTCGCTCCATGCAAAGCATGATAATATAGACATGGCGACAAAATACTTCACAAAGATGAAGGAGGCTCACCTTGAGCCAGACCATGTGAGTTACCGCATCCTTTTGTATGCATACTCATTAAGACACATGGTTACTGAAGCCGAAGATCTCATATCAGAGATGGATGAAAGGGGCCTTGAGATTGATGAATTCACTCAGTCAGCTCTGACTAGGATGTACATAGAAGCTGGGATGCTTGAGAAGTCATGGTTTTGGTTCATGAGGTTTCATCTTTCAGGGAAAATGAGTTCTGAGTGCTGTTCTGCTAATATTGATGCATATGGAGAGCGTGGGCATATTTTGGAAGCTGAGAAAGTTTTCGTTTGCTGTCAAGCAGTGAAGAAATTGAGTGTCCTTGAGTTTAACGTGATGATTAAAGCTTATGGGGTGGGGAAACATTATGGTAAAGCATGTGAGTTGTTTAATAGCATGGAGAGTCATGGTGTAGTTCCAGACAAATGTAGCTATAGTTCCCTCATACAAATTTTGGCTAGTGCTAATATGCCACATATAGCAAAACCCTATCTCAGGAAGATGCAGGAGGCAAGATTGGTAAGTGATTGTATCCCTTATTGTGCTGTGATCTCAAGCTTTGCAAAATTAGGACAATTGGAAATGGCAGAGGGACTATATAAAGAGATGGTTGGATTCAATGTTCAACCAGATGTTATTGTCTTTGGGGTGTTGATAAATGCTTTTGCTGATGTTGGCAGTGTTAAAGAAGCTCTCAGTTATGCTGATGCAATGAAAAAGGCAGGTTTTCCTGGGAACACGGTGATATACAACTCCTTGATCAAGCTCTATACTAAAGTTGGTTTTTTGAAAGAAGCAGAAGAAACATACAGACTTATTCAATCATCAGAGGATGGTCCTGCCATATATGCTTCAAATTGTATGATTGATCTTTATAGTGAGCAATCTATGGTTAAACCAGCAGAAGAAATCTTTGATGGCTTGAAGAGAAAGGGAAATGCAAATGAGTTTACATATGCAATGATGTTGTGCATGTATAAAAAAATGGGGAGGTTTGAGGAAGCCATTCAGATTGCAGAGCAG